CTTGCCAGTTGTTAATTGGTTATATCCCTGGTGTAAATGGAGCTTGTGTTCTACCTGACTGTAAGCAGCATTCTCCTTTAGATGTACATGAATGCATTTGGTGATTTGGAGGAGCCAGCTCCACTGGGTCTGAAGAGTCTCCATGTAAGCCTAGGAGAATACAAGTGCTGAATGGTTAGGGAGGACAGGTGCGCATGAATAAACGGATGAAGAAGCAAGTTATCCTGTGCAGAAAAAAAAGAAAACAAGCACTTACCTCGATTTTGTCTGATGCAGGGTGGTTGGCTGCCAGTAGGTTGTCCACTTTTACTTTCAGTTTATTCAAATATTTCTCTTTCTCCTCCAAATCACTCATCAACCTCTGATTTAAAAAAAAAAAAAAAAAAAAAAAAAAAGTGACCAGAAAGAATGGTCATGTTTTTATCACCCTGCGTATGTGTGTATATGTATGTGTGTATATGTATGTGTGTATATGTATGTGTGTATGGCTGCTTGTGCTGTCTTACTGAGTAGCTCTCCTCCTTCTTGGGGATGTAGACATCAATGTTTTTGTTGCCCCAGTCAAACATCAGTTCCTCCTCTTCTTTATCATTTACCCACATGATCTCTTGGGTGATCTCACCGATGATGTTCTGAAGCTCATGTAACTGAGCACCACGTTCAAACGACAGTTTCTGCAAATATATGGAAAACATATTTTCTGCCATCCTGAAGACTATGCTCTTATGCTATTATTACTATTATTATTATATAGGAATAGATTTGTTCCTTTTCAAATCTGTCCTGAGTACAGATTCATTCTGTGAAATATGATTAATTATTACACCCGATCTACGGTGCAGTGAAAAGGTGCCACTTTTCTTAATCGTTTCAGTTCTTCAAACATAAAATGTAATATAGGTCAAACACAACACAAAATACAGTTTTTAATTGATCATTTCATTTATTGAAGGAAAAATGTTATCCAACACCAATTAGCTCTGTTCGGAAAAAGTAACTGCCTTTTTTAGTTACTCAATCAACCAATTAATAAAATGTAATTGATAATTACATTCAATTAGACTTGACGTATTGATTACTGCCAGTCCTGTTGAATTGAAACATCACTTAAATAGAAACTTTCCAGCAATGTAAAGCAGGCTTAGCGGCACACTATGCCGCAATCGAAAGAAGGATGGAAAGGGTTACAAAGCCATTTCTAAGCTTTTGGGACTCCAGCTAACCACAGTGAGAGCAATTATCTCCAAAAGAAAGAAAGAGAGAGAGGAAAAAAAAAAGTGGCTAGCCTACCAAATTTCCTCCAAAAGGACATTAATGACTCACCCAGGAAGTCACAAAAGAACCCAGACAAACATCTATTGAACTGCAGGCCTTGCTTGCCTCAGATAAGGTCAGCATTCATGATTCCAGCATTAGAGAGAGTCTAGGCAAAAAATGGTATCCATGGGAGAGTTGCAAGTCGAAAACCCACTGCTAACCAAGAGGAACACAAAGGCTAGTCTCGCAATTGCCAAAACCACCCTGATGACCCCCAAGCTATTTCTGGAATAATGTTGTGAACTGACAAGTTGAAAGTGGAACATATGGAAGACATAGGTCCTGTTACATCTGGCGTAAAGCTAACACAGCATGCCACGATAAAACAGTTCTAAAAACAATTCTAACAGTCAAACATGGTGGTGGTAGTGTGATGGTGTGGGGATGCTTTGCTTAGGCGACATACCATAATTGATGGAACCGTGAATGCTGCTCTCTACCAGGTCATCAGTCAGTGATCTGAATCTCGAGCACAATTAAGTTATGCAGCAAGACAACAGACCAAATCACAAGAGCAAATTCGCCTCTGAATGGCTCAAAAGGAATAAAATGAAGGGTTTGGAGTGTCCTAGTCAGAGTCCTGACTTGAATGCTTAGACAAAACCTTTCATGCTTCATCCTCCAATGTGGCAGAATTAAAGCAGTTCTGCAAATAAGAGTGGGCCAAAATTCCTCCAAAGCAATTTGATCTACGGTTATCTGAAGCATTTGGTTGCAGTTGTTGCTGCTAAAGGTGGCACAATCAGTTATTAAGCTTAGGAGGGCAGTTACTTGTTCACATGGGTGATATAGGTGTTGCGTAATCTTTTTCGTTCAATAAACGAAGTAATCATTTACAACCTGTGTTTTGTGTTTCCTCATATTTCCCTTGTCTTTCTTTACATTTTGTATGAGACACTGAAACCATTTACTGTGGCAAAAATAAAGGAAATCAGCAAATACTTTTTCACGGCACTGTGTGACCTGAAAGTGTGTGCTACTGCAAGTTCGGTTAGCTGGACAACTTAGTGTTGCTAAAGTTCAGTGATCGTTTAGAGCCTACCTGTAGGCTGTCCCATTCCTGCTCCAGCAAATGCAGGCTGGCCTTGTCTCTTCTCTCTCTCTGTAACAGGGCAAAGGTGTTTATGTCTTTATTGCAAGTGTTTTGGCGTTTGACAATTTGACCTAAAAAGCTCCACATTTACAGCTCTGTTCTTAGATGTGTATCTGCATAAGAGAGAGAGAGATGGTGAACTGGGCTACTCACACTCGCAGTGAATGAAGTAACTCATTTTCAATTTGAGCTGATATGTTTTTTTTTTTTTTAGCTGCAGTTGTGAAAAATTATCTGATGTCCTTGGTTTTAGATATTCATTAGTAGCTGCAGCAGTAGTAGATGGTGATGCGCTGCATGGATATATTTCCCTACACAATATTTATTTTTAGCAGAAATACAAGTGTGTGGTTTTATATAATGTACAGTTCCGTAAACAGACACGCTATTTGTGTAGCCAGTAAAACCAAAGATTGCGTTCAACAGTTCAGAGTGAGCTGGGGGAAAAAAAAAAAGGCATATGTGCGTGTATATGTGTGTGTAGTAAACTTACTAGTTCCTCTTGAGCTCTTTCCACTTCCACACTTCTCTGGATAGAGTTGTGAAATTTGTTGTGATTCATTATCTGCTGATCGATGACGTCGGGCTCGTCTCCCCACGATGATGTCTCTAACAGAGACTACAAAAGATGTACATGCAGTGTAAGGAGGCGTGAAGAAATCGAAACGACCCTCCCTGTTAAAAAAGTTAAATGTAATTGTGTGGTTGGTTAAAGTATGCTAGCGGTAAATTACGGGCTCTTAGAGAGCAGTGTTTTAAAGCTCCTGTGTGTGCTTAACATTCATTCACTTTCATTAATTTACTTACGTCAATTTTCTATAAAAGCAGCTCTGAAAATAGTTCTATCTGATGATAGGTATGTAATAACACACTCTTTCTAATATGTTTCCTGTTATGAGATGTTTGTATGTGTCTCTCTCTCTCTCTCATATATATATATATATATATATATATATATATATACACATACACACACACACACACATACATACATACATACACACACACACACACATACATACACACACACACACACTAATCCATTTTGTGTCTGATGTATTATTTTCTTTTACCAGTATTAGCCATCACGTGTTATAACATGCCATGCCATCAGTCTATTGTAAAATCATACCATATTATGTTTTTCTTACCATTATTCATTACTTACAATAAGCAGATAAAGCTATATTCAACAACAAAAAAAATCGCATGTATTGTGCATGAAGATATATTACTTGCTCAAAAAGAAAAGAGAGGGGGAAAAAAAAAGTCTGTTTGTAAAGACGGCTGTAAATCTCAGAGTCTCAGAACTAGATCTGCAGGCACGCCATGTGACACGGCAGTAATTCTCTTTGACAGGTGGGAGGGGGGAAAAATTTATTGCATGTGCCCAAGGAAAATTCTCTCACTCTTCTGTTTGCCTCTCTATTATGCAAATGATCCGGTTCCCTCTTTTGTAATAAAAAGAAAAAGAAAAAAAAAAAAGGGAAGTCAAAAACCCAAAACATTTTCACTTAGCTTTCAGAGTTACTAACGCTGTGGTTTGGATGCATGCAGTAAAGGGGTGGGTGTGTTATTCACCTAATGTTTCTCGTCCCTGCCTCTGTTCCGGGAACACCAGTGCTTAGCTGCGCTTTCTCGAAGAAAGACTGTATTACACTGTTGATTGAATGAAGACCCGCCACGAAAGAAAGAACAGCCGAATCCTGGATTTAGTCAGATTTTTTTTTTATAGGGAAGTGATGGCATGAGAGTGCATGGGCTTGAATACAGAACCCTTTTTACTGTGTGGAAAGACACTCTTTTCATTCATTCGTGAAGAATGTTGTTTTTCAGTCTGATATGACCCACCAAGAAAGAGGGAGGAAAAGTACTTTCTTTATGCCTCTCTCCCTATGCCTCCCTTGCTCTTCCTTGGCTCAATATGAAAGTATGGTGATAATGACTACCTATCCACTTGAATTTACCTTCTGTTGAGTAATCCAGGCAATGGCATCTTGGAAGCTTCTTTCCGCCTCATCCCAGTCCATGCTGCCTCTGCTGCCTCGACAGCTTCGACTCTTCCTCTGCAGAGAGCCACCCAGAGCCATGTGTACTGCTCTTAGCTGCTCTGTGCACTCTTCCATACTGGGCACAAAATTACAGAATCAAACCAGCGCTGGTATGTACGCAGCTGCTCAGAGAAAAATGTTCCAAAATCAGGAAATTGACTACTATACTTAGCTTAAGAATAAGACCGATGTACGACGATTCTCGTAAATGAGCAAGTATTTAGGTGTGGACCTACAGTGTCTCACTGAAAGTAGGTAGCACTGGGATCTTCCGTGCTCGGTATTGCAAGTAATTGGCCATAAGTGACCATCCTGATCTTTTTTAATCACAGATTTAATTAGTAATAAAATAATTCCAGCTATAATAACGGCTGATAGAGGAACAGCCATTTCAGACACCACATACCGTCTCAGTTTCATTCGTACGCAGGGAAAGCTCCTCGTATTCAGATATAAGAATCAGGTTACTCAGATGCTTAGGTTTCTAAGTGGCCCACTCCGATTAAAAGTCCTGGCATGTATTTCACACCTCTGCTATATCCCTGGTGATCTAGTGGTTAGGGTGCAGTGTTCTCACCACGACGGCCCGGGTTCGATTCCCGAGCAGGGAATGGTGTTACGACAATGACAATCAACCGTGAAACTCCAAGGTTGCTAGCTTTTTCTTGAATAGAGGCGAGAAGGGGTTTTCCAGTAGCGCCTTGATCACCGCCTTTAAACACGAGCACTTGGCCTTAAGCCCAGGATAGAAAATGCAGAACTGAAGTCATATCTTTTCCCCCTTGCTATCAAATGTACTCATGATGCCATATAAAAGCAATATACAATTTAAAAACAAACAAAAAAAACCAATTAATACATGCATTTTATTAATTGATTTTTAATTGCGCAACGACAATTAATTACATGTAGCCAAGAGGTACTAAACCAAGGTAATGAGGCAAAATGAAACCCAAATCTACCCTTTATGTCCTTTATTTTTTTCCCAGCTCAGCTATAGGGTTGGTGTTTTGGTTCCGTGGGGGTTATGTTTAAACAGAAAACACACCCCTTGGCACAAGCGCCATTACATCCATCGAGACTTTTTCCCCCCATGTTAACCATATGTAACATTAATAGCATACTTTTTCATATTTGCAGCTTACTGGTGTGTCAGTTGTGCTGCATTTAGAGGCCTGTGGCACCAATTATTCAGCATTTAGCTCAGGTATTATCTAAACAATGCTGTGTGAAAACACAGACAGAGTGTCATCTGCTTGATCTGTACCAGGTGTGCTATCTTTGTTTTTTTTTTCCACAGCGTTTCTGCATTCTGGAAATGCTTGGTGCGTGCTTCAGCAGAGTCTCTCTTTAATTTCTTTAGACAGAACATGCAGAAATTGCAGTAGTCATTTTTCATCGGTATACTGTTCTGTAACCCTGCGGCACCCAGCTTTCTTTTAACAGACGATCATTCAAGTCACAGCAAAATGCACTGCGCAAGCAACTAGTCTCAGAAAAGGCTGCAGAAAAGTTTCAAACTAGGAACATGCATTAATGACATTGAAAATTGTCCATATATTTCTGAAAGGCACTACATTTGTGAGACTATAGAATAGAATTGTATGGTGCAAACGGTTTGTTCTTGCAAAGAGACCAGGCCTATGTTTATGTATATATGTGTTTGTGTGGCACTGGTTGTGTCTGTAAATGTATTCACGTGTCTGTATTTGTGTGTAAGCGTATCTCACATCATTAGCACACTCTCGTTGGGCTGGCCCATGTTCCTAAGATCCACAGCAAGACCTTTGAGCTGCTCAATAATGTCTCTGGCAGACATCATACAGTGCTCTGCTTCTGCTGCAGCCCGCACTCTATCTGTGTCCTGCAACACCAACACACGTCAGTCCACAACACACACACGCACGCACGCACAAGCGCGCGCGCACACACACACACACACACACACACACACACACACACACACACACAAAACCTTTCAGAAGACAGTGACAGCACTCAGCCCTGAACACACACCGCAACAAAAAAAACCACACACAGTAAAAAAAAAAGAGAGCGTGGGAGCAGGTGGAACTGCAGGCTATTCTCACCGTTTGTAAAATAAACTCTGCTTTATGAAGGAACTCTTGGCATTGGCCCTGGAGAATGGAAGCTCTCTGATGCATGATAACATGAAGGGGAGGGCTAAAAACGAAGAAAGGTTATAAAAAGATTAAAGTTTATTCCTGGATCATGTTCACAGAAGCTTGCACATACATGCATGAAGGTAATTATAGCTGTAAGAAAATCCCATCATTACCGTTCAGAGATTTTGGTAAATTTGTACAGTGTCACACAAAGTACTCAAGAAAAAAGAAAAAAAAAAAAAAACCTCTGGCCTGGCTGCTAGTAAACTTTCTGTTTTTGTCCCACCCTTGATTCCTGTGTGCAAATTCTTGAACACATTGTATAATCCTAGTTTTTCAACTCATAACACAGGCTCATGCACCCAAACCAAACAACTGCTTTGGTCTGTGTGCTTGAACCTACGCGCTTACCGACAATTACTTAAAACGTTCAGCGATTTGAAGTTCAGGTTGTTAATTGTGACAATATTTATACTTTATGTTCTAGGAAAAAAGGGACATTAGGTCTGAGCTGAGTTTCTGACAGGATATATATTTTTTTAAATAAAAATAAGATAAACGTGAATACATGTTGTATGTGTTGTGTCCTATTTGAATATTCTGGGTAAAATTCACTACAAAAAGTATGCTAAAGAGTAACGCCCTTCTATTAATGTTGATTCATTATCCAGATTCGCCTCCCTCCATACAGTTCATGACTTTGTCGTGATTTACAGGAACTGCTGAGGGGGCAGATAATACTGGAGCCAAAAGAATTTGCACTCTTCGCACTTTCCTTTTTAATTAGCACAAGTCAGAATATCTGCTGCCACTTTTTCTGAGCTGTAGCAAAATCGGCTGTTCTTGTGCCTGGTTTGTAAGAATGTAAATTATATATATATATATATATAAACAAATTACCTCTGAAATAGTGCATAAATATGAAAGACTAGCTGCAAGGTAATCTGTGAATGTAAATGCATTTGTAAAATGCAAGTTTAAAGGTAGTTTATTAAACGAGCGATTATAATAACTGTTGCAAACAGTAAATAATTAACATAAATTGCATAATAAGTAATTAACATTGATATATATATATATATATAAATAGAGAGATATATAGAAAGATAGATCATTCATTTTTTTGACCACCAGCAGGCAATTCATTGTTGTGAACTGGTAAGAAAACACCACAAGCACCTGGTGGGATCAAAAGCCCTGAAACTAAATACAGAGGCTAGATAACATCTAGGCTTTATTCTGGACTGGACTAGGGACATTGTTTAAAGGCAAACTAAGGACACTTGCAAAAGGCAAACATGACTAAACAGATTATTAATCTCGTTCTGGATGTCTGTGGTGTGACTCTGTGTGTCTTAAATCCAAGATGGGTTTTTATTTCAGCAAATGCTTTGCAAGAGCACAATGCACACCTGCAAGTTCTCCATAAGACATAAGACTTTAAAGGCCACCTCTCTACACAGCTCCACTATGTGTGGTGATCAGACTACACTGCTGCTGCCCAAGCTTTGTGAGGAGCACTTACCCCTGTCCTCCCCCCATGGAGCCTTTGGAGAAGGTGTAGTTGTAGTCCTCCGCATACTCCTGCCCGAATCCATTGCCGCTCAGCGCGTAGTTTGTGAGAGCGACGTCGCTGCGCGAGCCGCTGCGCCGGCTGAGAGAGTGCAGCGCGCGCTGCGACCCGTAAACACTCATAGTTTCATCCAAAAACAACAACAACAACAACAACAACAACAACAACCACCACCACCACCACCGAGCAGTTTCCACCAGGTCAGGTTAAAGACAAACAGCGTCGTATTGACACAAGCCAAAGCTCTCTCCAAACTATCTCCACGGTCAAGGCGGAAGCGCCTCCCTGACCCCGCCCACGCCCTGACGTCATGGGTGTGTTTTCCCCGATAGCTCTTTTCTTTTCACGGGTTTTTTTCCTTCTTTATTTGGTTCGCTTGCGTTTCCATCCAGTGCTACGGCTCATTTCAGACTGCAGCTCAGACAGGCCATAAGTTATTTACACTTATCTGTGCTGTTATCTTGTTATTTATTTGTCTCGTGATCTCGAGATAACAACTTACTTTTCTCGTGATCTCGAGATAACAAAGGCTGTTTTCTTTTGATAAAATTTCCTTGAAAAAAAATATTTTTCTTGTGATCTCTTGATGACAAAAGTTGTTTTCTCTTGATGACAAAAGTTGTTTTCTCGAAATTACAACAGATTTTTTTCTCATGATGTCATAACAACAAAAGGTTGTTTTTTTATTGAGATAACAAAAGTTGTTTTTGTGAAATAACTTATTTTTCTCATGTTCTCATGATAAACTTTGCTCAAGATAACATTTTTCTTATTTTATCTCGTAAGAACAAACATTGTTTTCTTCAGATAACTTATTTTTCTTGGGACCTCATGATAAATGTTTTATCGATATAACAACTTATTGTTTATGATCTTGTGACAACAAAAGATGTTTTCTTGAGATGACTTATTTTTCTCGTGATCTTGTGATAAAAGTTTTTGAGATAACTCATTTTTCTTGCAATCTCATGATAACAAATGCAGACGACATGCATTATTAGACATACATACTGTACACCATGAGTGCATCTGTTTTACTTCCATCAGCGACTGACCCAAGAGGAAGTAGCTGTTTGTCAGTGCTAGACAATTTCCAAATTGGCATCCGTCACTCGAGAAGGCGACTCAGAAATCTGCAACTACACAGCCGTGGACACTATAGTGATCCTGAACCAGTGGTCAGTTTCATTTCCAGCCAATTTTAGGGACCAGAATCTTGAAAAAATTTGACAGTATGCCACTGGCAACAAAGACATCATTCTAATACGGTACTGCTACGTGAACTCAGAAAAATCTGATCTTCATGATCTCATGATCTTGAGATAACAGTATTGGGAAAAAATAAAATAAAATCATTGCCTTTCTGGACTTCCATAGTTTCAGTGATCTTAAAGTGATGCCTCTTTTCAGTGAGTCAGATCATTTTGGCTCAGTTCACTAATAAGAGCCGAGCTCCCAAACAGCTCGAACCAGAGACCCTGGAGCTCTGAAGTGTCGATGCTCCCCACCGTTTCACCATGCCATCCATGACTGAAGCTGCTTCCTGAAATCTTCTACAGACTAACATTACTTTGCACTGAATTTTATAAAATCTATTTAGATCATTGTTAAATCAACAAAGCACAGCACATAAATAAATAAGCATTGCTGCATTCATGTTATTGCGCCTGCTGTTTTTTTGCTTCATTTCACGTCATGGAGAAGATTTCATACTGAAGCGAAAAGCAATCACACCCATGAAAAAAAATACAAAACACAGTGTTGTTTTTTCAGTAGTTACAGGCAGAAGAGATACCATACTGAAAAGCAAACCCTTTGCTGAGTTGCTGTTGTCATTTGATGTCTTTAATGGAAAAACACTCAGCAGAATGAAATCCTGAACTTGTGTCAGAAGTGAATGTGAGCCACTTTT